ATTTTTCTGTTTTTCATTCATATAATCTGCTGCCATGCAGACACAGTGAGAAGTTTTGAAGCCATTAATCGGAAAAGACTTTATAGAATGAAAAGTTTCAGTTTTTTGTGAAGTTCTGTCTCAAGCAATCTCACAATTGCATATAATAGCTAATAGTTTGGCAAATATTATAGGCTTTGTAGTCTTTATATTCTTTAATGCCCTCTGTTTTTTTAGAGATCTCTATATAAATACATGGCAACACTTCATGCAGAGTGCACAGAACAGAACATTCAAGGATAAATCCTACCAAGCTGAGAGGATAAAAAATTACAAAAAAAAAAAAAAAAAAAAAAAAACCACTTATTTCAGGTGTTGTCTGGGCAAAAAGAGAAGAATAAAAACTACTTTTATTTAGCTCATTCAATAATTCAAATTACTGAAGAACAGTAGTGGTAAGTCCCCAGGCATAAAATTCTCTTATTTATTTTTAAAAATTATTTTTTATGCCAGTGGTCTATTTCTATCACCTAATAAAAGCAGAAGATCGATTCTTACCTGGCGAGTGCAGAGAGTTGGCCAAATGTGGCTGCATCACACACAGGTGACATACATCAATACCTGTGAAATTATATAGCATAGTAAAAACAGAGGGCCAGAGTTGGCTCTGGGGTTTTAACATAAAAAATATAAAGATGTGAGAGCATGTTTGCTCACTATGATCTTTGTACTAGGACAAGTATGATAGATATTTCCATTCTAAAAGCACTCATATACTTTTTTATAATATTGTAGAAGATTGAGTGTCTATAATAATGAATGTATATATAAAATGTTTACTTGAAATTTATTTAAATAACTTTTCCTTAACACAGTATTAAAAAGAAAGAATAGTATTTTCCATAGCATATGCCCACATTTGTGCTTTAATCATAACAACCTCATTTTCCAAAGGTTTATTTATATAAATGCTTTTTCTGTAAATGTTACAGTAGAAAAAAGTACATACATTCACATACCTTTTAAATCAATGACTGCTGGCAAAATGAATGGAGACCAAAGAAATATGCCAAAAGTGGTTTAGAAATGTAGTTATTCTTAATGCTGTTTGTAAAATTCATTTTAATGTTGATGCCTGATTACACTGCAAAATTTTTTCAAAATTTCAGTTGGCACTATACGTGTAGTGCGTAATTTGTGCTGAAAAGAATTTTGGGAAGTGTTAAATACATCGCCTTATAGTGATCTTGGACTAGATTTTTCAGGCAGAGGTACTTTTGACTGATTAATATTTGGTGAACTTGACCTTGTATCTTCAACTTGTGCCTTGGAGGCCTGCTTTTCCAGAGTAGGCAATTCAGCATTTTTTTTTAGTGGATGTTACTGACACCTTAGGATGACCTCCTAACATGGTGAAAGGTATTGTGTTCTCAGTCAGATTGCTTTTCACTTTCTAAACACGTTGCTTAAAGGTGCTGATGAAATTGACCAACTGTTTTGATCTTGAGTAGATAAAGTCTAAAAGACAATGCTAGAACAACAAAAAAAGTCATAAACTTCCTGATGACTGAGGGAAGTTTTTGATGAGTTATTCAAATTATTGTTTTTATCATCCAGATAAAAACAATACTATTGCTTTTATCATCCAGATGTCATATTTTCTAAATTCATTTGGTAAATCTTTGGTCTGGCATGAACCTGCATGTTGTAACTGAGGAATCATAAAACAAAGTAATTTATTTTAGTTATTTAAGTTCTAAATTATTTTTATAGATACTTTACCTTTGAAATATAAACGTGTTTACAATTGAGAGAGATACAAGCAAAAGTTATTTTAGTCACTTTTAATGTTAACTTTCTGAGGGCAATTTAAGAAAATTCTGTCTATATTATACCTCTCCCGGTAAAATTCTTTCTCCAGATTACACTACCATCTGTTTTCATTCATTTGGTATTTGATTGTAGTTGTTTTACAGGGTAATTTTTAAATAATAACTAATAGAAGTAAATCAAACCTCTCAGAGAAATAATTTTCATATGTGGAATAGCAAAACCATATGAAAGTATGACTGGAAATACCAAGTTAATTTTTAAAGTTAAGGACTGGGGATTTTGCCTTGTGGCCTTGATCAAGGTCGATAGGACTCCTGTGGGGAAGTCTTGACAAAGGGCTCTAAACATGTTATTCCTTGCAAATATCTAAGGAAACTGGAACCAGGTAAAAATGTCAAGAAAACACACTGGTATAAAAGAAAAAAAATCTTAGAAACCCATTTTTTGGTGAAAGTTAGAATAACATGTTGTATTAAATCATTCAGTATTTTTGGCAGTATACTGGAGGTAAAATTTTATACTCCAGAGCAACCATGACTAATTCTTCTACCTGCTGTTCCCTTGGTTTCTATATTTTTTCATTAGTGTTTTCTCCTTGGCTCTGCTTAATGCAGCTTTCAACTCTTGGGGAAGAGTGATGAGGAGTCCAATTTTTCATTATTCAATATGATTTAAAAAATCTCATCTGCATGGTGATCTCACTTTGAAATCAATAGAATCTCAGACCCCAAAGAGGTATTTAACTAAATGAGAAGCAGCTCATGGGAAAATAACAGGGAAACCATTTTATCATGCTAATGTACATTTCAAATCTAAATGTAAAAACATGATGGACAGTAGAGGCAAAATTGTTTGACAAAGATCATAATACAAAAAACATATTATGTCAAGAATTAATATAGTTCATGTACCAAATGTCTCAATTAGACAAAGGGGAAGCTAAAAAGAGGCAAATGTTAATATCATTAATGAAATTAATATTGAGTTACTATGAGTTAGTGTGATTCTATACGTATTGAATTCTTAAGTCAACAAGTACAGGCATACCTCAGAGAAATTGTGGGATCTGTTCCAGAGCACTGCAATAAAGCAAATATTGCAATAAAGTGAGTCATACAAATTTTTTAGTTTCCCATTGCATATAAAAGTTATGTTTACACTATACTGTATTCTATTATGTGTGTAATCAAGTTCTATCTAAGAAAACAATGTATATACTTTAATTAAAAATACCTTATTACTGAAAAATGCTAACTATCATCTGAGCCTGTTGGAAAAATGGTACTGATAAATGTCTTCAACTCAGGGTTGACACTAACCTTTAATTTGTTAAAAAAAAAAAAAGTAACATCCGTGAAGCACAGTAAAGCAAAGCACAATGAAACGAAGTATGCTTATAGCATATCAGGGTCTATAATTTTTTATTGTCTGTGACTAGAAGCAACATTTTGAGAATTGCAAATAATACGACTGGTTATATTATATTATGGAAGGTTATCTCTATATCTCTATTTTATTACAGGATGATCATTTCTGGGAATAATCAGAAAACCGATTATCCTCAGAGAACATAATTTCCCTTGTAGATCTCTTCAGTGAGAAGGCTCATTCCCTGGGGCTTCTTACTTTTTGTCATGACTGGGAGTATTGTCATTCTCCTAAGACATTAAAACTCATATAAAAACCTTTCAACATGAAAGTGGAACAATTTGCTACCCTGTCTGTATTCTTCTTTCCATCATTTACTTTTCATTTACATTTATGTAAAGTTAAAATATTTTAAATGTTAATTTTTCATTTGCATTTCAGGCATTTCTTGAGGAAAATGACTCATCTCAGTCATCCTCACCCCTTCACCTTGTATTATCCTATGTGATTTCACCATATAAATCACCCCAAAATATCATGAATCTCATGGCTGCTTATTTATGCCAACGTCTTTCTCTCATATTTCTCTTCAGTAACTTATCTCCATGGCTTTATTCTGAACTTTGCTCTTACCTGAAATAGAGCCTCCACACAGTAGAATTAGAAAGCTTAAGTTTATTATCTTCCTTTCTGATTACAGCATTTATTCTTTTCAAATCATGCCAGTATTCTCTACGGTTTTGTTCTTTGATCTTGTTGAAACCGTTGACCTAAAAATCAAAGGCCAAAGTGAGAGGCAACAAGCATTTATTTGAGGTCAAAAACAATAGCTACTCAGGAAGCACTAATTCAGGCAGAAACACAAATACTGTTCTGGTTAGGTAGTTTTTAGGCAAGTTTTTTTTGTGTGTTTTGTTTTTGTTTTTTTTTAGAAGGAGGGAATATAACTACACGAACAGACTAAAGGAATTTCTATAAGTGCAAAAAAGTTGTTATTCATTAGCGATACATGGTGGCGCTAATTCTAAAGAATGTCTTTAATTTACAGTTGGGTAAATTTACAGTCAGGATGTTTGCTTTCCTGTTTGCTTTACAAATAGTTGTTTGAAATAAAATGTTGCTTTGGTCCAGTCTAAAGGTTATTTTTCCCAGTTCAAACATTTCAAAGTGTCAAGGAGCAAAATTTGCAAGGAAATTCCTCTAGAATGGCTACCCTAGCTCTATTTTAAAGTGGCTCCACTTACGTCAGTTTTTCACAAAATTTTCAGTCTTTTGGCAGCCACCATTTTCTTCTAGTCTCTGGGCTTGCTTTAGGCAGTCTTTCCTCTTCTGAACACTCAGTTCATTTTAAGAGTCCTTTGGCTAATTAGCCTCGATTCCTTTGCTTCTCTTACCTTCTTAGTCATTTCCTATAATCCCCTCACAAATTAAAAATAGAGGTAATCACACAATTTAACAACTATTCTTTGATTTATTTCAACAACTACTCTAACTCTTCTATTTGTATATCATGCACCTCACCTTTTTCTCTCCTAACTTTAGAGATAACCATGACTTCTATTTCAAAAACGAGTATAAGCTATCAGGCATAAACTTTCTTTACTAACTTGCATTCTTCTATAAACATATCAATAGTGCCACTAGAGTTTTCTTTTCCTCAGTCTCAGACTGAGACTGAAATTAAACTCTAATTTGTGTTTAAAGCCTTTCCTTTCTAAGATTTTCCATAATGTTGTTTTATCAATCCTGTCTTCTTTTTCGTTCTTCAACCTCTTTCTTTCTGTTTGCCCCTTTCTATCAGTATTTAAAAAAAACTCCTTGTCTATGGCCATGCCACCCTGAACGTGCCCGATCTCATCTGATCTCAGAAGTTAAGCAGGGTCGGGCCTGGTTAGTACTTTGGTGGGAGATCACCTAGGAATACCAGGTGCCGTAGGCATTAACAAACAAACGAACAAACGAACTAAAAACTTCAAACCAAACATATATCTCCAGATTATGTACTACGTTATATGGTATCAGTTTATCATTATGATAGCCCTGTGTGTGTCACTTGGGATATTCAGGCTCAGCAATGTTGAAGGTTTGGCCAATGTCACACTGCTAGTGGAGGAGCGCACCAACTGATTTCAAGCCCTTTTCTCCCCTTTACCACACATTGTTAATTATATTTTCACATGCAGTCTTCCAAATTAAATGTGTGCTCCTTATTTATTGCATCCATCACAGCATGTAGATTCTACTTTGTAAGATACTGATGGAATCTGGGGTTCTTTTATGATTAAGTAATCACAATAGTGTGGTCCTTTAAATGGTGCACTTCCAAGATGTAAATATGTAAACTATGCTTAAGATGTTCAATTTATAGAAGTGTAACAGAAGTTCCTTTCCAAAGGCAGTTCAATGGAGGTTTTGAATGTTTGAAAAGAGTAATGGTTTACACCATTAAACTATAAAACCATACTGCCAAGTCCTAATGACGTTCTTGACTGTTAAAAGATTTCCCTCAGGTTTTCCAAATGCCTGAAATTATAAAATTAGAAAAGTCTGAAATACTAAGATCATATTATAAACTACACCTGGAGAAAATGCTTCCAAGGGTCATAAAATCACTAGATTATGCAGATGAAACTATTTTATTTGAAAAAAAAAAAATCATAAAGAGAACTTACACCACAAATCAAAGTATCTAAAAAGAGATAGGGAAAAAAACTGCATTTTTTTTTCAATTTTTTATTCCGTTTGAAATAAATCTATCAAGTTCAAATAACTTTGCTTATATAGTTGTGAAATTACTATTCGTTAAGTGTTGCTTTTCAGTGCTATCATAGATATTGCTTTTCGGTATAACAATGGAATAATATTCTCACTTAAAGTATGATAGCTTAAAAGTAATTTTTCTGCTTTGCTTTTTTTCTTACTTTTTTTGGGGCATATTATTGCCCTTATGTGCACTGTAAGTATCACGTCTCATTGGAAGCATTTCCATAAACAATACTAGCCTTTTCAAGCATGCATCTCTATTTATTTTAGAGGATAGATTACAAGAAAAAGATTTAATCCATGTTTAAAATCTAGGGCCATGAGGAGACATACTTCAGTACCAAGATATTATCTGTGTTCTGATGGAAAACTGATGCCTGTCTTACTTACTGAACAGTATTCAGGACATTCCCTGTAATAAGAGAACATAAAGAGAGAGAAAAGGAAAGATACCTCAGCACAAGTGTGATTAGATTTTAAAACCACGCAGTACAGTTTGAACCAATTTACTAATTACCTAATATGGCATACAGCATACTATGAGAAATGCTGGAAATCTCAACCATAAAACTGATGTCATTAAACCATCATAAGCAGAACACTGTGCATCTTTGTCCCATTAATGTATGCAATTAGAGGCCCCTTGTTCATTTCATGGAAATTATAAAACTTTCTTTGAATTGTACCAGCCAGAACATTTGCATCCTTCACATTCTGTAGTATCAGCTCATGAGATATATTAAATGAGGATCACTCAGTGTGATGTAGAAAAGGAGATCAAGACATGTAACAAATGACTCTTCTGCTATCAGTTTGGGGAAAATGATGAAATTGTTGGAAAGAACTAGGCCAGATGGTGAAGTGTTTTATCAAAGAATAAATTACAATGAGGTAGTTTGATATATTCAATAATACCTGCTAAAACATTAAAAGTAAAATAGCAATAAAATCACATCTAACCTCAGAAACATTTGCCTGTTCTATTCTTTGAACTCATTCATTTCTGCTCTGGTAGAATTGGGGAAGGAGATGTGGCTTTACGTATAATCATTGTAGTTTGAAGTAAAGTAATAGCTAGTTCCATCAGGATTGGCAGTAGAAGTAGAATTTGCCAGTATCGTATATATTCCAAAATTAAAAAAAAAAATTTACTCTCTAGAAAGATTATTTGGCAGATGCAGACTTACCTATCTTGGAGTGAATCCTCTGCTGAAATTTGGTAGAACTTCTTCACTGTCTGTCTAATGTACTTTAGACCCTTTTCCTCTCCATGTTTCAACTCTAGGAACTGTTTATTTGAAACATTCATTTAATAAGCAGATAGTTCCATTTGGAGAAAATTCCACCCATCCAAACCCTTTTCTCTTCATTCAGTTATATTTCACTGGATTCCATTTAAAGTGGACCATTGGATGCATCATTATTAACACGGACTCTCTTCTTGACCAAACTCAAGTCAGGCTCCTCTAACTGCTCTCTAGGCCTCCACGTCAGTGTCTGTCCCTGTCAGGCCTGGATCACCCAGCTGTAGCAAGAAATCCTCACCTTGATATCTGATTACCTTGATACCTGATTACCCTCAATATCTGGTCAAATTCCCCCACACTCGGTAGCTGATCTCCTTGTCCTGATCTCAGCAGTAATCCTATCAAGTTGGTTTAGCCAGAATCCCCCATGTCCTTGATGTTTCCTCTTAATAATTTTCCATCCATTGATCTCCACCCTACTGCTTGGCTGTAAATTCCCACTTGTCCATGCTTTATTTGGAATTGAGCCCAGTTCTATACTGTGATCTCTTTTCTTCTATTGCAAAAATTTCTAAAGAAAATCTGTTTTTACCACTTTTACTATTGTCCAGTTCTGATTTTCTTTAACATTGTGAATCCTGTATGTATAATATCAAGAAATAGATTCAATTTGACAGGACAAGTAAAAAGTAAATACACAGACTTTCGAATTGAAGAAAATTTGGCTGGTATTGATTTGTGTCAAAACTTTTAAAAATTACATTTATTTCTGAATCAGACACCTTAATCTCTCTTAGAGTGTACCATAAACATTCTCTCCTTTCTTATCTCCACCATTGGGGTCTAATGTTATCAACCTTATTCAGTATCTATTGGTACTAGAGAATATTGATCTGATAAATACATTTACACTTATGTGTAAAGGACTTGAGGTGTTATTCTTCCTAGAATTATAGTTAAATAATAAATTTTATAAAGTCCTAAGAAGAAGGCTAAAAAAAAAAAAAGGAAAAAGTACAGAATGGTAGTATTTCAGGCATCAGTGGAGAATTCTCCAGAGCTGAGGATTCGAATAGTCATTTAGTTCCATAATACAGTCAATACTCTATTGCCTGTGCATGAAACTTATACTGAAACAAGTGCCTTATATTTATAACTTAATATTGTATATAGTTATTGGTGTTTTTAGTAATGGCATAAACCAGAGTTTAAAGATAATTAAATGTATTGTTGAATCATTATTTCTTCCTCTGAATTTTTACTTTATAAACCACTCATTCTAGAATAATAAATTTTTTTCTTTTGGTATATGTTCTTCTTTTCCTATAGTCCAAATGCAAACTTATTTTTCTCCTCTATAGAGTTAATTTTGTCATTACATTGGTTGGGGTACATAATTTTTATATAGATGTTTTATGATAGTTGAGTGATTTCAAAGCAAAGACTCATCCTCCCTGGGCAGTGTCCAACTCAACTCTCTTGTCTTTAAAGAGAGTGCTGATTTATTAGACTTAATAGAAAAGTATACGACACAGTACCATATATTTTGGCTATAATTAGGCATTGTTTTCAGTTAGTAATCATGCTATATACATTTTTGCCATTGCTGTTAAATAATTTTTTTTCAAAGGAATGTAAACTCATGATTCTTCTGCAGATGTAAAAATTAATACATATTAAAGATTTTATTTAACACATTAATAAGAAATATAAGCTGTTATAGCTGGCTCAAAGAAGAAGTCAAGAAGCACAAATTTATGTAAAATTTTGGAATGTTGAAATGAATGTACGAATGGGGGCAAAACTGGCTTTCCCACAGCAAGGGAGGTTGTCTCTTCATGGAATTTATTTACATGTTGAGAGACAAGAATTATTTTGTGCAATAGCTCCCAAAGAATTTGAATTAGATAACCCAGAAAAGTATGCTATAGAAAATGTATAGTTTTTTGTCAAAGCACAAAGTTTTCCCTATACTGTCTAGACATTATGAGCTTGAGTAATCTGTCCTCCTAGACGGCAGCCATGTCTCTGATGGTTTGGGTAATATGAGGAAAATGAACCTTAGCTGAAACTCCAAAGAAAAAATTCTATAGTTGAATTTACCATCCTGACAGTTCAAACACTGACTGGTCTGCAAAACTGTTCTAGTCACTTTTTCAATTGCTGGCACATAGGAGTAGTCTGGACTTGGTATTTCCAGAATAACCTTAGCAGCTACATAGCAAGAAAAACCATTGTTAGGAAATTTGGAATAAAAAACAAAAACAAAAAATAACTAGGTGTCTACAATGGAACATTATGCATTCTTTAGACTATCATACCTTTTTAGGTTATTGATTATAGTTTTTCTTTGCCTTTGAGCTATTTTAAAACTCTACAAGTTGTAGATAACTGTTAGCAATGAGACATAATTCTTATTAATAAACATATAAATAAATTGTGTCAGGTGGAAATTCAATTGATTTCCCTCACTCCCTACCCCTCAATTGCCCCCATATAGAAAGCCAGTTTCAAGTCATTTGTAAATCTGTTTTAATATTCCTGTACTCCAGATAAATTTATATTTCTTTGATTTTTCTTTTGAACTGGTTATAACATTTTACCAGTTACCGTATATTATTAATGAGTTAAATAACTTTTTTGACATGTAGTCATTTGATATTTGTATGATAGACATGTAGGCTTTTAATATTTAATATTTAACATCACAAAAGCAACCAGAGCCTCCTTTTGAGTAAGAAAAAGTTGCAGTAATACTGGCTGAGTCACGTTACAAAAGCAGCTGAAATTGAAAAATATGATGGCAAATTAGATAACTTGTAATAGATATCTGTCTTTGTATCTTCTCTCTCGTACTTCTTAAAGTGAGCATACCTTAGTTTTTGGGATAAAAACTAAATATTTGGTTTATGTATTTATTAGATGAAAA